GGCACGGCTCAAACGATTACCGATCTACACCACACAGCACAAGGGCCACTCAAAATAACACTCCACGCACACACACGAGCAGGGCCGCCGCCGCCGCCACGCACTTGATCCTCACAGGTGGCACGGGTCAGAGCAAGAATGCCTTCCCCACCTTTTCCCATCCGCTAAGCACTCACTTCCTTTCAAGCCACAGTCTGTCAAGTCGTCGCAGTAGAGGAGAGGCAAGAAAAGCAGAGATATGGCGCGGAATGGAGACAGGTCAGGAGAGCAGGAGTCTTTGTCCCGCACCACTCAGCTCCTGCATGTTTCCTCCTCGGGTTTGGCAGCATTAGCATATGAAAGGAAGGGGAAGGCGTGCAAAAGGTCACAGAAAGAAGATCCTGTCCAATGAGACACAACAAAAACATGCCACACCAGCCATTGTGCCGGTCATGTTCTCCACCACCCAAACTAATGCTCCTCCCATTCATAAAATCATTTCCATAGCCCATATGCAGCGACAGTGACGACGGTTGATCATAGATTACTCACTGTGTTGAGTGGGGTCACACAGGAGTCATTGTGGCATCGCAACATGTGGCCTATGTTCACCGCAGACGTACAGGCGCACCTGCCGGTCGGCCCCACGCTTCCCTCTTCCCCCGCAAAATCCAACCAAATCCTCCGCAAACATCTCAATAAAGAAAATCTAAGAACGTTGTAGTTTGATTTGATCCATAAAGCCACTCCCTTCCTTCCATGTAAATGCTACCAGAGCCACACATAATTGCATACTCCAGTGATTCAGGGTACAGTTTAGTGCATACATGCGGCTTAAGGAGACTGACTTTGCACTAACTCCATTATCATACATATTGCCAACATGACAGCCTCCTTCTGCTGGCATCCGATGTCCCGGCTCCAAACACCGGACTGGAGCTTCCTGCTACTCCTGCAGCAAACATAGCAGCAGCGACAGCACTGTCCATGGACTCAGGCCGGAGAAGAGGGAGCTCAGGGGTAGAGCATTTCATCTCTCTTTCATCTCTGTCACCCAGTCAAGCGTTCAATGCCCCATTCAGCGCCTGCCCAGCATTATGCAAAATAATGCTAATCCCCTTTCCCGTGCTTTCACACTTGTATAAACCGCCGTTCCTGCCTCTGAAAAGCAATTATATCAGTTTACGTTCCTGTCAAAAACAGAATCAGCATGCAAGTACAACTACCACCAACTAGACCCAATCTCCAGACACCTTTGGCGAGTGGGAAGCACTGTTTGTCCACTATCTCCCAGCTGCTGAGTGAGGGGAAGTCCTTTATACAGCATTTACATGTGAAGCCAAAATGTTTCTTTTTTTGTACGGAACACATGCTAAAACATGACAAATATTGACATAATAGTACCACATAAAAGCATGTAGTTAATAAGTAGCTTGAGTTCTGCAGTCACTGTCTTCTAGCTCAGACAAACTGCTGTGTTACACATGTGACATGCTGACTGACACAGCACACTGTTGTCGTCTCCGCGCTCACATATTGCCACCACATGCACAGACGGCCAACGCACGAGTGCACATGCAAACACACAGCCATACACCAGCACAAAGGCTACAAGGAAAGATGGCAGGGTATTTTTGACTATGCAAATGTCCATACAAGTGGAACATGTGTAAATAAGAGCCATTGTGAGCAGGTTTGATATTGGGCCTCTCAGCCCCTTTAAGCCCGTCTGATGCTATGCTACAAGACGTACACCCGCTAGTGACGACAAATCAGCGGACATTAGTCAGCACAATTAACCATTGTCATGGTGACTAATGAAATTGAATGAAATGAAATTTGGCAAATCGGACAGCCCACGTCTTAAATGGGGTAGTTATGTGCTAGCACGGGGTGCTGCTGGCTGGTTGCCTTACACACTGCCATTATTCTCTTCTCTGCCGCAGTGGCACAATGGACTCTTGTATCTTAGCTGATACCCACTGGCAGTACAAGTTTTGTCTGACAATTTGCATATGTTAATATAATTAAGTGCTAATTACACTAAAAATTGCATATTCACAAGCACCCTCCCTGGGAGCAATGAAGGCTTGATCTGGTTCCAAGTCTTTAACCCTCCTCCTCGTGCTGCTCTAAAGGTGCGTGTGTGTTAGTACTGCTGCCCCAGGGCTGACACAGGAAGCCCCCCCTGTTTGAGACACAATGCTGAACTGCTGTGGACTTTTAGCTTCTCCCCCTACAGGCCTCCTCGAGCCAAGAGCCAGGGCCTGACACTGCTACTGCTCACAGCAGTCAGATGTATAACTCATCCACACACCAACGTGATAAAAAACAACAATCAAATCATATTTTAGATGTAACTGACAGCAGCATTCAAAATAGACTAATGGCAAAAAACACACAATGAAAATACAAAACTGAACACTGCTAACTATGACAAAATGTCTAAAATGAAATTTGTCAAAGCCGTCTGTTTTAGATGTCACAAAAATCTACATGATTTCCCCATTGAATATGCATGTATGGATGGGAGCATGGCATTCTGATAATGGAGGACAGGCAGTTGTGCTTTTCACTTGGTAATGGCCGTGAATCGGGGAGGAAGCCAAGCGGTCGTGCTACAATTAGAACTCTTTTGTGCCTTTTCCTCTGTGTGTTTCTCCCTCTCTCCTGGTTTAGCCACAGACACTCTCCCTATGAGGGCAATGCTAAAACAGTGCTCTGCCGACTGGATGGAGGGGTCACACCATGCTTTTGGACATGCACACAGCAGATGGTACAGGAGGGAGCATTAAATAAACACACACACACACACACACCTATAGCCAAACTGACGCCTCGTGTGCACCCGTGTCCCTTAATGAATGTCTGTAGGGAGTCAAGGGGTCCAAGCTCATTTAGTTGCCTCTCAATGAGATGCAGCATTATGGCTATGGTAATACCCCCCTCCCCTCCACAATAATCATACACAGGTCATTGTGTCAAAGTGATTCATTTCTATCACACACATACGCCAGATGTCATTATGCACAAGAGTAAATCTCTCCTGCAGTTGGTATTGAGCTCACGCGAAAAGAGAGAAAGTGTTCAGGAAAAAAATATATTGTTATAGCTGTTCGGCGTGTGGTGAGCTCCGCTGCCCGCTCAAGCATGGCGCTGGTAATGCAGGTTGGGATGTAGCCCTGACTGTGTATGTGTGTCTGCGAGGGGGAGCCCCTTCTCACTATTACCTGCTTCTCGGATTACCACAGCGTCTTAAGTATTCAACCGGACTCATATTTTCTCTTTCTGCCTTTTTAGTCAAATTGGCTGTCTTTACAGTGTAAAGCTGCAATATAGCTGTCCTTACTAAACGCCTATGGGGATCCACACAAGAACATTAACATGCAGCGATAGTCTGGTTGCAAAGCTCCTCTCTATTTCTTTCTCTCTCCCTTGCTCTTTCTGCAGCAGAGACTTCTAAATCATCCAGCCTCCTCTATTAGACGGGAGACTTATTGAGGTAGAAACCATAAAAAATGAAGAAGGGAAATTTAATCCCTGAAATATTGATTTGCACATTAATATCAGATAGGCAGAGGGCAATCTAGCCGGGTGGAAATGACACATTGTCGACCCCTAGGAGAGGCCCGAGCCAATCTTCTGGCTGCATGTGTCTTGAAGCAGGAGTTATAGGAGAGTCTCTCCTCCTCCCTCTGCCCCTTCAGAAGCTGGCTTAATGAACGCTGCAATGCTGAAAATGCATTAGCTTTTAATAATCAAGATGCATTTGTAAGCCAACAGCTATTGTCCTCGCTGGGCTGTCTGGCCATCTTTCACACGATATGTTTTTATGACTCTTCTCGTGTTGCTACCCGTAAAATGAACACTGCGAGTTACATGCTCTAATAGAATACGCAGGCAGCTTGTGATATTGCTAAGACAATGCAGAGAAAACACATCCGTGTCCTGGATTTTTCAAGCTCTGAAGCTGAAATCTCTGTCTTCAAAAAAGGAACGAGTGAAACAGATCTGTTCATGCTATATTCTTTAAGAATCAAAGAACACATATTTACATGTCAAATTAATGGATCGGCAATTAAATGACAACATACAATAAAACTAGAAGAGCAAGAAAATCAAAGAACGAGAAATATGAGAAATGTTTTCTGCAGACACAGGTTAGAAGATGTAATTTTCTATTGTTTACTTGAAAATATGAATGTGGTAATTAATACATTTGAATATGTTTTTTTTACTATTGAAAAATACATTGGGAAAGAAACGTATTATGTATTATTAAATATTAATAATAATTATGGTTGTTATTGTTATGTTTGTTATTATTATTTATAACATAATAATAGATACATTTGGTTCAGATTGGCTAGCAAATGAGTGATAGCCTATGTGCAACTGAATTATATAAACAACTTGAATAAGAAATAAAGTCAATAGGATAAAAGACAAAGGTTTTATATACAGAGAGCTTTTCGGAGAAATTGGTGAAAAATCAGGCCAGTTAAATTTCGTGAGTGAAAAATCGCCTGTAATATTCAGTAAAAATATGAAAATGGTGGCAGTGTGTTAGGTGTTTGGTGGTGAGCATGAGCTGCTCCTGGCGCTCCGGTCCACAGAGCAGGGTGGGAGACTGGCCCCTTGGCCCTGATCTTTTTCTTTTTTTTCTCCTCAGTGCGATCGATGTCCCCCTGTCACCGCGGCGTCCCCGTGCGCACAGTCAAGTCTATCTCTCCTCCGGAAACACATCCGCGCCACGTCCGCTCCAAACACACTCCAAATTCACTTCAAATACACTACAAATACACTACAAATACTGCAAATACTTCAACCTGCCAGCATGGGACATTATACTACCTGCTTTTGAACGTGAACAATCACATACGCCGTAAGATTCCGTATGGATTGATAAAGAATCGGAACTTAATGGATTGGCTGATAGATTTGAGGAAATACATATATCAAGTAGGTAACAGAGAATGTCTACTTGTAAGTGTGATCATTTGCGTATAAGCACCAGTGGAATGGACAGGGGCCAGGAGTGGACTGGGAAAGAGCGCCTCTCAGAGCAGGCAGCAGCCCAGGGATCGCGCTCTGCTCCGGGTGACGCAGCCACCTACGCCTCGGTCAAGTGACGCGGGTTTAGGATGCACGGAGAGCACACGTGTGGACTAAAACTAGTTTGTGCAAAGTAATAATAGCCATAACTGATCCCACAGGAAGATCAGACGTTGTAAAACATAAGATTCAGTCATATCGCAACGTAAAGGCTCCCTCCGCTCTCCCTGTAGCAGAAACAGCCAAGGTGCACTACTCGGTCCAGAACAACACTAACAAACTGGCATTTTTGCATAGTTTTCATGTGTTGCCGCTGCTCTGGGGCTTTACAAGGATATGTGCAGGTTCATCGGGACTGTTTCCAAAAAAGTATCACGAAAGATGTGAGCGCAGTGGAGGAGCAGGGGTCGGACAGCCAGCTCCACATACGCGGTCGAAGCAGCGAGTGAGTGGTGCAGGGAGAGAAGTTAAGTTTCTGTTAAAACCTCCGAAACTAACTCTTAAACTTGCAAATGCAGTCGTTGACCCACAATCCAACCGTGATAGCGCGGACAAAAGCGGTAGAACGCTTCCGCCGCTGTCACTCGCCTTTTTACTGTGGCCAAAGCGCCTCCGAGTGTTACTATACAGCAGGATGATCTCCGCCTCTGTTTGTGGACTAAAACAGCTCGCACCTGTTCTCAAAATAGCCCCCCGATGTCAACGATCCAGTAAAAGAGACAAAGAATCGATACACGACCCTCTAAATTTAACACGCTCACACGCCAAACCGCTCCAGAAAAGTTAAAGGGGAGAGGTGCAGAGGAAAAACTTACTTTCTTCCCCCTCCAAAACCGTCACCTCCGCTTCTCAGCTCGTTGCTTAGAAAACAGTCACATCCAGCAGCTCGTGTAAGGTGACAATCAAAAGGTGAAAAGTGGGAAAATTGCAATAATCCTCCAAACTTTAAAGTTGGGAAAAAGGAGTAAAAATCACAAATGTCAAAGCATTAAGAGAGCTATCCCTTATTTTGGTTCCGGTAGCGCTGAAACGACGTGTCGACGGGCTGCCTCGCTGTTTCTCTTGTGGACGCGCTCTGGAAACGGAGGAAAGGAAATGAAAATCCGATATGTCTTTATTCTGCTAATTATTATCGTTTTAGCCCTGTTTAAAAAAATGGCTGATTAAGTTGAGTGCGCATGTCTTTGTGTGTCTATTTCCCGATATGCACTCTGGGAATGGGTAGAGAGACAGTCAGAGAGAGAGGAGAGAGAAAGAGGGAGGGCGCACAGAGACGCAGGAGGGAGGGGGACAGAGGAGAGAAGTGTAATTAGTGAGTTGATCAACAGTCTCCACATCGCAAATGACGCGCGGTCGGAGCACACGGAGCCCTGGCGGCGGCACACGGAGCTTTACGCACGGGCTTTTGCTTCATGCTCGCACCAAAACGGACAAAACCTTCTCCACAACAATAATAAACAAGTGTTCCCAAAACTAATTCACTGCAGGTATACAATTATTTACAGCTGCACACATGGTTTTGCTCCAATACAATAAAAACACACATTTTAAAGAATTGAACTGTTATGTAGGATATTAACACAAATGTTACTGACAAAACATATATTTATAAATAAAGCCAGTTATGGAGAAAATTAGAATATTAATTATAAAACACGAAAGCTACGTACTGTAAATGTAGGTTGGTCTGAGTAACATACACACACTATTGCGTAAAGCGTTTCCATCTGCAGATAAATGCCATTTCACATATGTTTAAGAGTAAAAGTATTTTTTTAGATGTTATAAATCATATTAGTCAATGAAAACACCTGATGTGTAAACCACAACACACAATGTACCGCGCAACAAGGCTCTCCGGAAACTACAGAAAACAGAATACAGTGTCCAAAAGCTAAATGTAAGCAATTGTGCCTGAGTCCAGAAGTTATATTTTAATTCATAAAACCTGTATTTTTATATTCTTTAGCATATGCAAATTAGATCTCATTCATAAACAAACTTGCTTCAATCCCACTTCAGGGTGAGCATCCTTGCAGTGTGAGGCCCTGAGAGTGTTTTAAAGGCAAACTGTAAAATCCATAGGGTCACACCAAATATCCCTGACTGTCCAGGCTGTGTTTAGTGTCGTTTACATTGACTGGGTCTGATGATCCTATATGCTTTGAAGGTCCCCTCTTGTTTCTAAACAGTGGCTTTTGGCAAAGGCAAGACTTTACACAGCCTCAATCGGGGAGAAAATCAAGAGATCTCCTTCATGGGGGGAAAAAAAATCGAAGCTGGGGTGAATTGAACTGCATGAGCTGGGGCTTGGGATGTGATGATAAGGCTGCTGCTGCTGGCAAGTGAACTACTAAAGGTCTACCTCGGAAGCCACATTGACTAGAACGTGCACCCCCGTACCAACTGGATCCTTAAAGAAGCCAAGAGATCCGAGCCCGACCCGACCCGAGGCTGTTTATTCTGGCTTTTACACAGGTCTCTGACAGAAAGGGAAGAGGGGGAGTGGGTGGGTCGAGGTGAGGGAACAGAGGCGTCACTTTTCACCCGGATCCAAGGCTCCTGCCGCTGCCGCTACCGCTGCAGCTGCCTCGCCATCCTCCAGGGGTGATCTCTGAGCGCGCAGCCACTGGAGGCGTCGCGCACACACGGTATGAGAAGCGAGGCTAGTCGCTCTTTGCTGCAATGGTTGAATCCGCTGCGTTATGTTGAGCACCCATCGACATAAAGCCACATGGACTACACATCCTTTATCGGGAAATCTCCATTACGCATCTGATCGGGACGTGTGCATTTTTTCCGTAATTTTTTTGTGATTTCTGACAAGAAAAGCGGATTTGGAAAAGCAGCCGCTTATCTTAACCTCTTTCGTTTGGTAAATCCCCCGGTGTCCTCCCTCCCCTTTTACCCCGCAGACGATGCTCTTTCTCCGGCACAGCGCACCACAATAGACAGCGTTAACTAATATTTCGGTCCATTTCCATATCAGCGGCATCCTCAATTAATTATAGATTTTTATCTGCGCGCGCCCCAGAAGCTCCAGCGTCTGTAAGTTTGCGCGTAAGCCTTAATGTAAATGTTTACAAATACAATAATAATACAAAACTCTCCATGCCAGTCAGCCTGTTCAGACATAACGTATTTTAAATGTATAATCATAAATGCCAGTTACATTTGCAAACTGCGTGATAATTGTTTGTGGCATTTGGGGGAAAATATCGAGTATGTGTAATGTAGTTGTTGTAAATGTATTTGATAAAAAGAAATAAATATAATATGTTTAAGCCATAGCCACAGTCACCTGTGTGTTGCTTCTTATTCTTGCCCTATGCTCCGGCGCCCTCATGGGGCTGTGGGGCTGACCCCTGGCTCTCTAGGGCGCGTGCACAGCCAAAGTGCTCCCAAAGACCTGTCACACTGACCCAATGGCCAAGTTCTCAGCAGCACTTACAACTAGGCCCACAAACTCACAGCAGTAGGACGAAAGCACCACAAAGTCACTCTTGTATCACATGCTGCAACCGGAGGATACTGTACAAATCATATCTACAGTAAACATGATCCAAAACACATCTATGGAATGTCTACGGGAACTCTCCGCGTTCAGAATTTCAAATCAATAAATGATAAAAAGCCAAACAACTTGTGTAATTATTATTGCCAAACAAGCGGTAGGTAACCTATCAGCAAAACTTGACTTCAAAGCAGTAAAAGGCGACAAAAAGATTTCAGAAATGCCACAAAATGAACTTTTTTCCTATTGAGCTCTCAGCAGAAATTCCCCGGACACTTACACTTGTAAAAACAACAACACTCCATAAATATGCAATCAGTGTAAAAATCATAGTCTTGTCTTACCTCGATAAAATCCAGAGAAAGTCAAAAAAATAATAAGCCATTGAGTGAAAGAAAGTGTAGATTCTTAGTACCTTTGGTATAAAGCATTCCGTTTTGCTTCGTTCCTGTCTTTCTCTTGCTCAGCAGCGATCCGATAATAGCATATGGAAAGTGTTTTCAAAATGCCCAGATTTGGCACATTGTCATTGAAAAGAGAGGAGCGCAGTGATGCGGTGCTACAACAGGGGAAATGAGTTGCGGATTGGACGCAGCCCGCCTCGGTGCGGACTTATCCCACTTTAATTTAATATTCCGCAATCACACACACTAGTGATGGCAAATAATTCAAGGAGAAATTCAGAGGGAAGGAAATGCTTTTTCGTGTGTGTTTTTACACCACTTTATTTGATTAAGGAGGGGGCAACACAATATTGTTTCCCTCCCCTTTTCCAAGTTTATATTTTTGGACAATAGAAGACAATAGATTTTTATTTGTTTGCATTTATTTAAAAATCAACAACTGGCGGCTTCTGGGCATCGGTGTCACACTAGAATCATTCCTAACGTAAAATCGAGAGTCATAAACGCTTGTTTGTAAAACACTGAACCCAAAATCAATGTATTGGGACATTTCAATCGATTATATAAACGAAAATCCATACGCAACATGAGACCGGTATCAGCCCACTCTTCCGCTCCGCTTTTAAAGAGAGGGAGAGGAGAGGGAGACGGGAGAGAGCCTTGTAGTGGAGGAGTTCAAAACAAAGACTGTCAATGCGTCTCTTTGAGTCACATACATCAGGGCTTTCACATCAGAACACTGTGCGTCCTCCTTTAATGAATGCTTTTAAGGCACTTGTAATCACCACACGAGATTCAGACACGGAATTATTCTAACTATAATGAAATTACACCTAAATTAAACACATTTCCATACATTATGGAAACCCCCTGGCTGTGCCAAAGGACTCTTCAGCTTGACTTTTGAAACAGTGACTTGACCTGGCAAAAGGCTTCCAGATGCAACTGATGGTGCAAGTACTGATGACAACAATTAGGCAGAGGGAGTAAAGGCGCTCTAATCAAACGTAGGATTACGTGGAATTTCAAGGGTCAAGGGCAGTCGTTTTTAGGCCCCCCACCCTTTATATTCTTTTAAGATCACATTTCACATGCAACAATCAACAAGCAGCCGGTGCGTAATGACGGTATATGCAAATTCCTTAAGGAAGACATGGACACTATGGCACAGTCAATTGCGTAAAATGCACATCAATATGCAATGTGATATTAAGTATGAGGTTACACCGGGCAGAGGGGCTATGTGAGGTGGGGGTAAGATGTGCCAATCTTGTAAAATTTACATGGGACCACAGCTGCAAGGGCTCTCGAGCAGAGAGAAGGTAGGAGGCAGAAGGGAGGGGCGTTGTGCGTTATGTTGTGTGTGTGAGTGTATGGAGGGGGGGTCCTTGAGATTAGGGACACAAGGGGTAAGGGTGGTGGGTCTGCAGTACAGCCGGTTACAATCTGTTTATTTGATAAGAGCAATCATGTCCCCTGACTACCTAATATTGTCCTAATAAACATGAGCAATAACAAGCAAAGGAAGCAACTTGGGACGTGTCTTTTTCTAATTTTCTTTATGATTCCAAAAGAGTAACGCATCATTTTATGCATAGACACGTCTATAGAACAGTGCTGATTCTCTTTCTGCTCGGCCCGATGTCCTCCGCCCACTTGGCCCTTTGCTCCGCAGATCCTTTTTCATTGTGGAGCCTTCTTTAATAGACACGCGTCCAGAGAGTGTCCTCCATAGATGGACGGCCAGAGAAAAAGGGGGGTCCCCCTCCCTTTTAAAAACGACCTCCTGGTGATGCCCTAACACACATTTCCTCGCCCGCAGCCCCCTTCAACGCCAAATTCTATTGATTATCGCTCAGATCCACACGCAGTTACGACCTATAAAGCCGCGCGGATGGGAACAATGGCACCTGTAAGCTGCGTTTGAGAGACAAGGAAATTCATCGACAGATGCTAACCGGTAATCAATACGAGGAAAAGTCATCTTTATTTCATTTTAAATAGCGAGAGATTTAATTCGGATTAGGCAATTAATATTACCTATATTTATTTAGATATTTCATTATTCTAGCTGATTGTACAGGTGATCACAACTTGGTTTTATTAAGGGGCTAATCGCGAGTGACAAGACAAAAAATATCTGTATAAAATAATAATAATAACATTGTTGATAATAACAATAACATGGTAACATGCACAAAAGCCTGTTCCCGTTGAAAAAGGGCAGCATTCACAAAGGAATAGGCCTAAAGCTTCGCCTATTAAACAGGCTTCCTGACAAGCCACGGACTCGAACATGTCACTTTAGAAGTCCGAAAGGTCCAGGACCCCCCCTTGTCTCTAAAGGACCGCCACCCCTCCACTTTCCCAGCGCAGCGCGCATCCAGACATGGCCCCGTCTATGCCAACACACACGCACGCGCTCACACAGAGCTCAGGGGCCAAACCAAGACGCCAAAAAATCAGCTGGTCAGAAGCCTACCAGCACGTCACCCCAGAGCAGGACAGCCATGAAAAAAAAAAAACATGTCAGATGCTTTTCAAAACCATCTGACAAAAAACTGTTGCATGTATGCAAAAAGGCCGCAATTAAAGCAATTAATTAATCAAATACATGCATTATTTTTGTTAATTTCTTTTTGTTTTAACTTATTCATAAAATTGATAAGATTATTTATTGAAGAACCCAATTTGAACGGATTAATTGATTATCGAGGTTTAGCCACACATTCAGTGCTTTTGCTTCCAACAACCAGCCCTGCTGTCAGCGGTGGGTGATACAGTCAAATCAGTCCGTCCTGCCTGGACGCCATCATGTATCAAGCCAAGTCAACCGGAGGCGCAATGACCACTGCGTAAATGCGCATGGATTAACGGATGCGGCTCAGACAAATTGGCAACGCTTGAAGGGAAAGAGAGAAAGAAAAAAGAGGGACATAGAGATAGGCGTCATTTTTTGAGGTGTGCAGTGACCCTGAACGACGTTGGTTGGCTTCATCAGTGGATCAGAGGGGGCCTGATGAAAGACCCTCCTGTCCTGCGTCATAGGAGAGCTTTATTGATTATTATAAGCAGAAACTTCAAGTTTGTTCTGGTCCTGAAGCAGCCCATTGTCTCAGCAGTCACTTCTACATATCAGGCAATCAAGATTTTGTTATTATAATATTACGTTTTTACAATAATGTAATCGCACAAAACCAATGGGTGAAAATAAAAAGATGATCAAATAGCACTCTTCAAGATATAAACATACATTTTATAAAACAAAACATTGACATGCACAACATCATAACACAACGTAAAAGACTGTTTTTACTGACATCAATTTTTATATCTATTCAGATTGAAATACATTTATATTCAAAGAAAGTGCAGATACAATGGTGAAGAGTGCAGCCCCTCCAAGCGCACACACCGACACACAAACACAGTCTGTTATGTTTTCAATTTGGGTTGAAAAGTAGACATTTTCCCTTGGTTGCATAACTGCCATGCATATCGCCCCTCCCTTCAATTAAATGCTATTTCTCCCAAACAAAATGTCAGAATCATTCCACACTGGCTGGTTCATCAGTGATTTGTTCTGAAAGCTGTGTGTCCTTCCCAGAGATGCTGCTGCCGCTGTGTATGTGGACATGTCTGTGTCCTGACCTCAATTCAGAGTTCACCAAAGGACATGAAGGTGTCCAAAAT